CCCGCTTCAGTAGTTTGGAAAATATTTGCGAATCATAGCCATCCAGTGCCATTCTAGCACAATGCCACTATATACGCTGATGCACTAGATCTCTTTGTGGCTTATTATCATAACATATATGGAATAGAAATCGACTTCCTTTTGCAGGGTTAGTCGGTTGGAAGGGATTTGTAACTTGGTGTCAGCGAAAACTGAAGGAATGGGGAGTTTTGGATTATGCCAAGAAGTCCTTGGCTCCCCGTATTTCGACCGCGATAAGTCCTTGATTACCATCCGTCTGTCATGTAACAGACATCAAGGCATGAACGTAGATATGGAGATCAAGATGGTATGGCCTTCTGCTTGGTCGCAGTCTCCTTTAGCTTTATAGTGTGAGTTCGACCTTGTTTTCGCAACTTGGTCGGAGCATCAGGGCGATATTCTGGAACGTATCTAGTCCTGTGTTTTCTGCCATAGTATTCGTGATTTACAGCTTTGGAACATTTTTAAACGTTTCGCCAGCAGCATAGTTGACACCGTCAGTGAGAGGTGTCAACGTCAGGACAAAGTTATAACTTATCAAAGTGACAAGTGAAGGCAATGCGCTTGACCAATTTTCTGTTCAACCGTTGTGGCATCACTCCTCGCCCCTATTTTTTGTTATACCTTCTAGTGCCCCATCTTCTCTCAACCCCACTTATTTACACAATTCTATGCTCTCGTTTCCCCAAAAGCCGCCTAAGATTGTACCTCTATAAGTGGATTTAGGGAATAGCAATCTTCTCCACCAGCAGTATCAGGTGCCGTTTGCAGGGCTCCTGGCCTAAATGCTACCCCCCCTTTTCCTATCTGCTTGTCAATTGATCGCTGTCTGATATCTGGTTGGTAGGGTCCTTCAATTGTCGTTACCGATTACGCCATATTTGGGGATTTAGGGCAGATGATGCGCATGCCGGGGTCTGTGAATCTTCTTCCTAGGCTTTAAATCCATGACTCAGGTTATCTCTCCCTCATCCCCACTCACACGGTGTGTCATTCTTTGGAGCCCTGTACCCGACTTAAGTCATAGCCGTTGGTATGAAAATGCATCGATGCCATTTTTTCCTGTGAATCGCGAAAAACACACTTCTCTCGTCTCTCTAGATGGCATTCCCATTTAATCCTATGATACTAGAATGATGTTGAAGTATGCATTTTGGCTGATATCCTTCGTGTTCAACCACGTTACTAGTCTCCTACCCTTCAGGTACGGACACAAAATATACACACAAACACCCACACACTGTTGACTTATACCTGGCCCAGCTATAACTTTAGCTTAAACAGTTAGACCATCCTGATCAAATTTTTGACCAATTCCTGGTTTGACTCCGCTCACTGCAGTTGCCTTGATTGCCATTTGTTCTTCATGAGTCGCTCCTTTGTGATGTCTGTTGTCCGGTTGTTGAACATTTGTTCTGCGTCCAAACGTCTTCTTTTTGATGTCTTCGCTAAATCTACAACTCTGCCCAGCCAGTACGCGAAATTACCGCTATCTCTTCCATCTTTCATTCTCCTGCTTATGAGATTTATTTGGAAGAGGATGTTCACAGCTTCCCTGATCTTCCATTTCTTGGTGTTTTTTCTATATGAGGCCAGTCTTTCCGTTACACTCCAGTCAATTGTGTGGCCGGTAAGGGCTCCGATCTTTACGTATTCATTTTTCTGCATAGTTGCTAGTGTTCTTTGAACCTTGTGCTAATTGTTCTTCTCGTCTCATGTATTTTTGTATACAGTCCTTGCAGCTTATGTTGTAAACTCTGGCGCACTCCATTTTGTGACCTCTTCATGTTGTGTGGACAAGCTGGTAAAGAAGGTTCTCCTTTTCTTCAGGATTGTACGAATGTTCCATTTCCCTAGTATCGGCCGTAGCTTCCTAGCCATTTCGCAAGTTCATCTTGCTTTCTTTTCACAATCTCCGTCCTTCCATTTGTTCATCGCTATCTGTATGTTGTGTTGTATTGCTTCTGGATATCCATTTCCAAGAAACATCTGAGTTTTCCCAGTTCCTCTTCCGAGAACTCAGAGTCATTGAGTCGTGGTCTTATTGTGATCATACTCCGGAGTATTCCAATTTTTATTCCATAGGTATGGCTCAACTGTAAGTTAATATGTATTCCAGCATGCGATTTCTTTCAGAAAAGTCTTTTATTTAGAGCTTCCTCTGAGAGAATGACTACTACATTCAAGAAAGATAAGTATGCGTTCTCTTCCACATCTACGGCCAAGCCGTTTTTAATTTTCTTAATCGGTTGTTTAAGTATTAAAAGTGCTCCTTAAATTAGCGAATCTCTCAACCAGGCTACGTAGTAATTTGCTGAAATTAAGGACATGATACCATGCCTTAATCTTCTATTTATTCGTTAATTGCAATACTAAGCGTTAAATATGAACTATTTTTTTACAATATTTCTCATTATAACGCTTAATTCCCTTCTATTCATTAGAATATTAAATTCATTCTCTCATTGCTCGCCTGAATATTTGTGCATATTGACATTTCGTCAAAATTCACAAACAAATCTCCACACTTTATCATTTTTCATCTTGTTTAACGATTGTCGTATACTGCATTATATTGCTTTATTTAGTTCAAAAACTTGTAATCGAACTTTTATCAACACATTGAGCATCATTTTAGCATTCGAACTGTCCCTTCACAGGAATTTTATTTTTTTCTCGAATTTTATGGATTTACTCACTTGACCTTTTTTTTCTATCTTTCTCTAAGCGCAGCCGAGAAACATGCTGTTCGCACCTTCTTCCGTATGGCATTAAAAAGCTGTTTGAAAGAGTCCGAACGTAAGCTCTTCTCTGTTATGATGATTCAGCAGTTGGCGGTTCGAGGACTAGCTCTTCATCATGCCGGAATGCTGCCAATCTTAAAAGAGGTGAAAAATTATATTTTTATTAATGTTTTAGTGCTAAATTAACATGTTTAAACTCGGTCGCAATTCTAGATGAATCTACAATCATAGTTATGTTTGCTTCTCCATTTTTCAACGTTTAATAGTCAGTATTCATTTTTTCATGCGATCTATCAAACAGCATACTGTAAATCAAAGGCACGATTAATAGACCAAGATTGTTAATTATCTATACCCAATAAAGGCATTTTTCTATGAAATTGAAAAGGTGTTAGACGTTGATTAGTAATTCCATTATTAAACACCTCCATAAATCTACTAATTCCCCAAGATTATATAAACTATCCTTGATATAATGAATGGATGCCACACAATTCCGGATTACGCTTATTTTTCTCTATATTTTTGATTTGTTATTCAGCCATTACGATAATTTTTATTTGGAATGTTCCTCTTAAGATAGTGTTAACTTGACCTTTCATATTCAGTAAGCATTTCTTCACTTCCTTTTCAAATTTAGATAATTAATCACGAATCTTTTTTTGCTAGGTTATCTTTGCACTTTATATTTTTGTTCTAGATTTTATTTGACTATATGAAATGTATAATTTTATCGAAACCAATTTAATTATTTCATCGAAAATATGAAGACTAAGATAGTGTAACCTTCGGTATGGTCGCGTTCTCCTTTCGATTTATAGGAGGGGGTTGACCTCGTTTAGCAACTTGGTCTGGTTGTCAGAGCGACTTAGTAGAATGCACCTTGTCCGAAGTTCTCTGCCATAGCAGGTGTCATAATTCCCAGCATTAGACTGTGGGCTTATTAAATTCCTAGACGTTTCGCAGGGATCATAGTCAGCATCATCAGTGAGTGTTGTCATTCTCCGCACCAATCTACAAACTCGTCATAGAGACAAATGAAATCAATCCCTCGACCAACGTTTTTCCGAAAGCGGCTATCACTCCTTTGTCTGTCCTGGCCTATCTATCAACCATTTAACCTCTTATCCAACTCCCGCGTATCACAACTTCTGACTTGTTTACATTCCACTTGTCAAAACGTGTGCCCTTTTGTGGCGAATCTAGTATGGCCTCATCACAATTGCTATTTACCCCGACACCGTCTCTTTCGATCGGCTGATCCGACTCGGGCCTCCAATCCGGATCCCCTTATTTTCTCGTTGATCCGTTCCTTATATTTCTGGTTGACCGATTTTACTCGGTTCCATTCCCAGTGTGCATTTCACTCCAGGCGCTATTTTCAAGGCCCTAGAAGCACGTACACTTCCGCCTCACTGAGCAGAGCGCCTAAGCTCTGATTCCCATGCTTGCAGATATCAGACCTTCACTTCACGGGTCGTCTCCTTGATTAAACCCATGTTATCTGAGCAAACTTTGGATGCGGAATCTAAAGTGGATTTCTAGTACAATTTGGCAATAACGCCGAATTTCCGTGACGGTCTGCTTATCCGTCTGTCCAGCTCCCTGACTGCCAGGCCCCCAAAGTTGTACTGGTTTATTCGACTCTTTCATGGCCACCCGAATATTCAATTTGCTCACTATTGGCCGTAGTTTTTAAGTTAATTCGAAGGAAGGTAGGCATATCCACTTTTGTGAATCCTTCGTCGTCCCCGTTATGCCATCGGCTTTTTACGTTCCCTATATTTGTTTATGTTACTTCGCCTGTGCACCCGTTGTCGAGGGATATCATAGCCAATTGTCTAATTCTTTATCCCAGAATTTCAGATTCGTCAAGCGTGGGCTTCGGATGATTATGGTCCTCAGTATTCTTATCTTATCCGTCTGCCCAGCTCCCTGACTGCCAGGCCCCCAAAGTTGTACTGGTTTATTCGAAACGGACATCACTCACTGGCAACGTCTTCGCTTCATTGCCGAAAACCCATGCCCTCCACTTTCTTCATCGCGATCAATTTTCCTCCGGTTAGCGATGGATCTTTGATCCAGGCGTCTCCTTTTTGCTGGTCTTGCTCTATTTTTGTTTTCCCTGAGTTTGCTTAAGCAGTAGGCAAAGTTATCGATAACTCTACCTTCCTCCAATCTGTTCATTAGATTTGTCTCCCCAACTATGTCAATGGCCTGCCTAATCTTCCGCTTTCTTTCTGTTGATCTCATGTTAAATCTGTGCGATGTATTCCGCTGATTCTTATCTTTCGGTATCTATTTTCGTGCAGAGCCTTTGATGCTCCTTGCTTCGTATGCTAATTTTTCTCCTTGTTTCTCCAATATATTTCTGTTCGCAGGCGCCGCATGATATACAGTAAACTCCAAAACAATCAAATTTGTCCACCCTTTCATGTTGCGTCTGTAGACTTGTGGAGTGTGTTGTTTTTTCCTACATGGCCATCCGAATATTCCATTTTCTTAATATTGGCAGTAGTTTTTGCGTTAATTCACAGGAAAATAGATATATCCACTTTTGTGAATCATTCTTGATCCTTACTGTTCTTTCGTAGTCCCCATTCTGTCATCAGCTTTGTACGGCCCGTACATTTCTTTGTGTTACTTCGCTTGGGTAGCCGTTGCTGGGCATATCATAACCAATTGTATAATTTTTCATCCCAGAATTTCACATTAAGCGTAGGCTTCGGATGATCATGCTCATTATCCTTATCTTTAATCTGTAATTGTGATGGAACAGGAAATTGAGTATTATCCTGGCATTCGAGTTCTTTCTGAACAATTTCTTCTTCAGCGTCCCATTAGAGCGAATCATTTACTCACCACCTTCGTCTACTTCAATCGTGAATTTTATTTTTTCATCAATCAGGTTTATAAACTTCGGAAAATCTTCCAGTTTTTCTCTTCTACGTGATCAAAGTGCAAAGTTATCATCGAGGTACTGCGCGAGCACTGCTAGTTGTAGCGGTGAGATCTTGAAGTTCTTTTCCAATTTATTCATGTATGCATTTGCCAAAAGAGGTGAGAGCAGCGGAGGTCTAAATATTTGTTCATAGATTGACCCGTTGAATGTAAAATAGTTTGTCTTTATTATCAAAATTGATTAGTCGTGCGGTGTCCGTTGGGATTCCAGGATATCCTCCTCGGTACATAATTTAAGGCAGGGCCATTAGCGTATTTTCTCCAGAGTTATTTGTATACCTGGATTAAACATCAAGACTTAACAATAACTCTGTTTCTTCAAGTGCTATCTTTATGGGTCCTTCTTTACTTTACGACATGTAATCTTGTCTCGTAGAATATATTGCATCTTATCGGTATATTGTTTTTTGTCCATTAGAACTGTCGTTCCTCTATCCACTTTATGATTTTTAGAATTAGTTCCATCTCCATTTTCTGTTTTGCCTTTTCAGGGAACTTTCCATAAATATTATGTCTCCTAGAAGGCTTTTGTCATTTCGAAGTGAAAAGTTGGCTCCTTTTTCCACTATCATGGCTGTTTCAGGATTATGAGAAAATGATTATAAATTTACTACTTTCTTCCGATCGTGCTGATCAGTAGGTGTTGTCACCTCTAAAACTACTTCAATTGAGCGTACTGGCTTTAAATGTGGTTGTCTTATAATCCCAAACTTACTAAATTTATCATCGTGTCGTTTTGTTATTAAGTCAGAGATCCTAAGTGATTCCCTGACGGTCATGCTCTGGAGTTTTTGAAAGTCTTCCGGAGTCAAGATCGTGGTGAGATCAAGCTAGAGCTTTGACTTAACGTCCATAAACTTAACTAGCTTATTCCTCTCTATCATAAGTTTCACTTTGTTTCTGAATAGAAGCCTGATGGAGAGACATATTAACCTTGTACAAATGGGGGGATCTCATAACGTTTAAAACAGTTTCTTTGGCCTTAAGAGACACTACCATTCAGTTGAGGTTAATGTATTTTTCCACCAGGCTTCTATTTAGAAACTAAGCGAAATCTATGATAGGGAGAAGAATAAGCTATTTAACTTTATAGGTATTAAGTGATCTGGCTAGTAAGACTACAGAGCATGTCCGACAGGAAATCAAATAGGATCACTGGCTTGATAACAAAATGACATGACTATAAATTGCGTAAGTTTGGGACTATAAGACAGCTAAGTAAAATTGTGGCATGACTCTCCATTTCGAAGGGAAATTTGGTTGGAAGGAATTCGTGGTGTGGTCTTACAGGAAACCAAAGGAGGATTGTCGCGTAAGGAAGACTGTTTAATTGTGCGAAGAAGTCCTCGGCTCACTGTCCTGCGACCCCGATGAAACTGTGCTTAGCCTTCGTCTATATTGTGAAAGATATCATCAAAGCAAGATTCCATACTTTACGAAATAGACCACAAATATACTAACCAAGAGAAGTAGGTGGCTGGCTGCAACCCTAGTCGCTTTTTTATATAACTAACATCGCGATCTTGAGGAGGCCTCCCTGATGTGGTTAGCTATTTCAACCTTACTCTACATGCTTGTAAATGAGTGAAGTCCACTTCACGAAATGGAAATGCGTTCGGTGGCAGCTGTTTCATCACAGAAAAACTAGCGTACGATCGCCTAATGCCGAATCATGCTTCAGCTTGTGCTATTGTCTATTGTATGTATGTAATGCTAATATAATGAGTAGTATGAAAGTCCTTGCTAGACACGAGGCTAATCCAGCCTCCTCTTGATCGGTGGCTTTTTTTGCACCCCCTCTCTGCTTTTCCTTAAGTCTAT